TCCACAGCAGTCTCTTGCCAGATGTCTGAAGAATTCATGGTTTGCTAGTTCCATCCAACCCAAGTTTTAGAGAGACCTTTGTTGAACTGTGAATTTCCTGTTTCATGTCAAGAACCTGCCTTCTAGGAAGAGTGGCCCTGGCAGGGTGGTGTGGAGATTTTTCTTCACGGAAAAATTTAGCACTCACTTAATAACTGTATTTCAAAGCACTTCCCATTTACCAGGCACTGCGCTGGCAACCCAAGATGAGTCAGACCTAGACCTTGGCCTTCCTGGAGAGTGGAAAGGAAGGGCTTAGGTGAGTGGGCAAGGACCATCGGGCATCGTGGTTCTGATGGAGAAGCCCGGAGAGGTACATGGGTACATAGCAGGGGCAGATTTGAGGGACCAAGGCTGGCATGTATTGGGTGGAGGCCAGTGGTCTCAGAAATTTCCTTAATGTGGTTCCGGTTGTGCTTTGAAGAAGAAATGCAGCATAATCCAGAGTCAGACTAAGAAGCATCCCAGTCAACAATGCCTGGAAATGAGTTAAGCTGGGGCAGTTTTGGGGGAGCAGAAGCCCCACCATAGATGCTTTCTGGGAGCTGCTGCTCTCTTACCTGCTGCAGGGACTTTTTAGAGTGGCTTTTCCCAGGACGTTTCATGGAAAACTAGACTCTGGGTACCTGTGGAGGAAGGGTCCCTGTGGATGTCTGCATAGCACACATCTCTCCTTCCTCTCCCTGAAGCTTGACAGTGCACGTTAGCCTCTTAGAGGCTCTGAGGAGCCCATCAGGGAAGAAACTTACAGAAACCCATCCAGCATTTCTTAACAGCTTGTTTAGGGCATCCTTTCCTCTTTGTAACACCTTGATATCATAGAACTGCATGTGTTGCTTCTTCAGACCGTGACTTGAAACTGCTGTGGCAGGTGGGGAGGTCAGTGGGTTTGGGTTTTGGTTTTGGACTTACTTCTTTGCATTTGTTGAGAGCCGCCTGTTGACTACTGAGATGTTACAGAAACCTGGGATGGGGGGTGGCAAAACATCAAGAAAGCAATGCAAATGGGGAGAGAGGGGAGAGGCACCCGCAAACTAAACCCTGTCAGATTTGGGTCTAGCCTTTAAGGTTTACTTTCTCTGCATCTCCCCACTTCCTTCATGTGTGTGATTGAAGCATTGGGATAATCTGACTTCTCTGAGAAGACGTGCTCTCGTGCCCACACCGGCCCTGTTTTCCTTATGTAACAGAGAGGCAAAGTGAGGTTTACGTTTAGCCCAGTGGTTAGATTTTTTTTTTTTTTTTTTTTTTTTTTTTTAAA